ATCAACTGCAAGATGCTATCCTATCAATATGGGCCAACATTTCTAAAGAATGCTTTCAGCACCTTGTTGCATCAATGCTAGAATTAAGGCAGTTCTGAAGGCGAAAGGGGGTCAAACACCGTATTAGTATGGTGTTCCTAATAATCCTTTAGGTGAGTGTATCTATAACTGAAGCTGACGTGCTACAAAGCCCAGCTAAGCTCAAAATAAATAAATCGTAGAAGGCCTTTGATGTTGTCCCCCACAAATGGCTCCTGTTAAAGCTCAAAGCTGCAGGGATTTTAGGAAAAACTGATCGAAAACTGATTAACAGACAGGGAGTAGCAGGTAGTTATAGGTGGCACAATGTCACAGTGAAACTGCATTCATAGTGGGGTACCGCAGGGTTCAGTTTTAGGACCACTATTGTTCCTAATTTACATGAATGATATTAATAAATTTGCAGATGACACCAAGGTGGGTGAGGTAGCAGATACCAAACTAGCAGCACAGAAGCTACAACGAGATCCTAATTTAATTAGCAACTGGGTTGATACCTGGCAGATGAAATTTAACGTAGATAAATGTATTAAAATGGTCGATAGGATGTTGGGTTACATCTCTAGGTGTGTGGAGTTTAAGTCAAGGGAGGTGATGCTACGATTATATCATTCCTTGGTAAGACTCCACCTAGAATATTGTGTGCAGGTTTGATTACCATACCTTAAGAAGGACATAGCTGCCTTGGAAAGGGTTCAGCGTAGGGCTACAAAAATGATCCCTGGTCTTAGAGGAATGTCCTATGAGGAGTGGTTAGTGGAGCTGAATCTGTTTAGCCTTGAGCAAAGGAGACTAAGGGGGGATATGATTCAGGTCTATAAGATTCTAACGGGTCTAGATGCTGTTCAGCTAAATGGCTACTTCAATATTAGTTCAAATACTAGAACTCGTGGCCGTAGGTGGAAATTGGAAATTTGGGTTCCTTTAAATCTGGAGCCTGTACTACGAAACGGGGTTACTGGCTTATAAGGCAAAATGTAAGTGAACTAATATGAAATCCATTTAATCTGTGGTACCTTAAATCCAACAAGTTACCCCGATAAGTCAGTAACCCCACTTCGTAGTACAGGCCACAGAGCTAGATAACATTTTAACAACTCAGATATTAGTTGAGTTAAGAACATAAGAACATAAGAACATAAGAAATTTACAAACGA